GAATCACTATTCCATTTATCTGTCACACCCTTAGGAGAAGGTGTTAACTTTTTATTCTTCGACAATTTCATCTCATTATGGTCGGATGATGACGATGACAGTGAACGTACATTGATACGTGATATTCTTGCGCCACAAGCTATTACTTCCTCTACATGTCCAAACTCATTCCTCCCACTTCCATTATCAATTCTCCTTAGCACCTCTAAGACGTCATCCATGGAAGGTCTTAATTCCTTATCTCGTTGCAAACACTGAAAAGCCAGTTCTGCTATTGAAATGATTTTTCTTTTAACATCACTATCTGACTCAAAACCAAGGGAAGGATCCACCAGTTCACTGAGTTTACTTTTTTGAATCTTCCTTATGGCTAGGCTTGCCAAGTTTATCTCCTCCTTGTCTCTGCTCATATCAACTGCCGGCATAGATGATATCAGCTCAACCAATACAACCCCAAAACTGTAAACATCACTCTTGCTTGTAAGCCTGTAGCATTGATGATATTCCGGATCCACATAGCCTGGGGTTCCTTGTGGAGCTGTGGAGACATGTGTGACATCATTTGGGAACAGTTTTGACAGTCCAAAATCGGCAACTTTGATGCAAAAGGTTTCGTCAAGGAGAATGTTGTTTGTTTTCACATCACGGTGAATGATTTCAGAAGCATGGAGATAAGCCAAAGCAGTAGCAGTCTCTAAGGCAACTTTCATTCGGATATGCCATGGCAAAAAGCCAGATTCACGACGCAGATGACTGGCCACAGTTCCATTTGAAACGTATTCATATACAAGTAGTAGTTCATGACTTTGATGTGAAGTGCAGCCATAAAGAGTAACTAGATTTCTGTGGCGCAAGCGAGTGAGGATTTTGATTTCATTCATGAACTGTTCAACTCGTTTGAAGTTGTGCTGATATAGGCGCTTCACAGCAACTTCACGTCCATCTTTTAGTTTTCCTGGATGTTAAAAATAAAAGCAAGAGTCATTTTTTAATTATATAACTGCAGGGAAGATGTTCTAATTAAACCTACCACCCTTTTCATAGATGGTGGTTTTTGTATGATTGTGAAACATACCATAATAAACAGTCCCAAATCCTCCTTCTCCGAGTTCTCTTGAACTGTCAAATTTTTTTGTTGCTACTTCAAGATCCTTAAAGGAAAAAATTGGCACCCCATGGTAGATACTGTCACTCTCTGTGTATTTGTTGTAGAAATTGGGAACACGTCGTTGGCAGTGCCACGTAATCAGCAATCCAGTTATAATAATGACAGGGAGTCCAATACCTAGAAATCAATAAATGGGAGAAAAATCAGATAATTAATTGAATATTATCTTGAAGAGCATGCAAAAGGAATTTAAAACACTGTCTGATTGACTCTGATTACTTGACTATTATGTCCTCTACCATCCAAACTTTGACAGGTCCATAACAATGGAAGTAAACATATAGGCAAAACATTTTCTTGTGAGATGTGAACTGTTTTCTTGTGAGATGTGCAGTTCATACATAAAAATATTCATTCCCGTTTAAAAAGGGAGAGTAGAGTATAAAAGGCATGGAATATGTGTGTACTATGATTCTCAGGACCATCCAATTTCAAGACATGCGAAATTAAAAGTCAGAGGAGCATTACCGAGTCCTAACTTCCAAGCCCATCTTCTATCCTCTGCAACAGAAATCAAAGGCACAGATTATTTTAAAACAGGCAATAAAGTAAGGACTCAGGAGCAAATGGCTAGTATATACAAGGCAGGATATAGAAAATAGACTAATTCTAGCATATATAAAACAGTCTAGCTACTGAAACTTTGGCTTCATTTGTTGCTATAAGTGCTGAACTGCTAATAATAGAGTTGGATTTTGCTGATATCCCTTTTATTAAAGATCATTGTTGTAACCTTAGGTTGATGCCTCGTGAACTCCCTTCACTAAGAATAACCTCCCCTCCCCTTCCCTTGACTCTTTAATTATGTGTATGTATTGGGCATGCATACCTTTGGTACAACGGAACTTTTCGTGAATGTCAAGTTGGCATCGGCCCCTTTGGTGGCGAAGACACTTGTTGCAATCATCAGATAATTGTACTTTAATTTGGATTTCAGGAGACAGAAAATCAAAGGGGTCATCAGTAGGGCTGTCTCTTACTGCAACCTGATACACTGTACACTGTGCCAAAGAACTTGGCACTTCGACATTACCACCAGAGTTTTGAAGGCCATAGAAGATACTATAGGCAGTACAGTTTGTGTAGCTATAAAATGATTTGGGAGGGATGACACTAAGGGAGTGATTGCATTTGAACATAGTTATATTATATTTGATGTAGAAAGAAGCTAAAGGAGAAGCGGGAGGAACAGAAAAATTGTGAAAGACTTGACAATCTTTGGATCGCAAATTCTTCCGTTGAGCTTCATTGTCCCTGACTGTGATGACATCACCTTCAACGTATGGAACAGTGAAAAGCTGTTTTGATGGTGGGCTGCCTAGTTGGATGGTTTTGGGAGCAGTTGTATTCTTATTATCACAGCCAAGTATTGCCAAAGCGCCGCACTGAGGGTGCTGTGGAACTGTGAGAGGGAATGTAATCTGGCCAAGATATCCACAACTAAAAGAAGTTGGACATCTTTCATGATCTTGAGCTGAAACAAGTAGAAACTGGAAGAATATTAATGATTTGAAAATAAAAAGAGAAGTCATTGTGAATTGTAAGGGCAAGATAAGGAAGCAATGATATTAATGGAAAATAAGAAGTATAGTGAATTCCAAAACAACCCTGTAATATGGTTCTATAATAAAAGTGTGCTGTACTTTGCTCTTTAACTTCCACAATATATAATTCAACCGCCTGATACGCAAGTTGACTTGATATATGACAAAATGCAAGACAGACAGTAGTGGATTTAGTTAAAGAAAAGGGTTGTCTTGCAAGAAGGGCTAGTCTTCGTCCAAAGAATTCAACTATATCAATCCAATACAATATTAAGACGCAATTTTTAATGTTTAATACTATTCTAGTTATTATATAAATGAAAAATTGATTCAAAACTTGGTCATTGTTATAATCAAAGTTCAACTTTTTTTAAATTTTTTAATGTTGATATTCCTACTATACTATTCATTTCATTGAAAATTATTAGATACCTTAGTTGATTGAGTTTTTTTATTAAATATAAAAGTGACAATTTATTAAACTTTTTTTTCTTTTAAGTAGATTCCCACATTTTCGTGAACGGATGTGTGTAAAACAGTTAATTTATGAGAGAAAGATTCATTTGGATCATGGAATAAAGACACATTTATGAGAAAATTTATGGAAATAGTGAACGGTATGGTTATGAGGAAGATCAATTTTAGATGCCTACAAAAAATTAAGTGGACATGGTTATGAGGAAGATCAATTTTAGATGCCTACAAGAAATTAAGTGGACAGGTGAAAAAACAAAAGAATTAGTCAATTTGAGATTTAAGCTTTGATACACCGAAAAAGAGATCGAAAAATGGGGTTGAGAATTATTGTGGACAGAGAGTGATAGAAGGATATTGTGGATGTGAAAAGAGTAAGAGATTGAATTATATGCTAAAAATTTGTAGTGGAACAAGAAATCTTTAATGTTATTAGTGCTTACGCACCTCAGGTTAGATTAGAAGGCGCACTTCAGGATATAGAAGGTGCACTTCAGGATATATTCCAGAAAGCTTTTTCTAAAAAAGGAGTTCTTAGTGGACATGTAGGTAGCGTAGCAAGAGGTTTTGAGAGCGTGCTTGAGGGGTTTGGCCTATGGGAGGTTAATGCAGAAGGTAAATCCATCTAAAAAATTTCTTCGCTTTAAATTTTACTATAGCAAATACACGGCTTAGAAAAAAAATATGAACTTTTTATCACTTATAAAAGTAGGGTGATATGTTTTTAGGTAAATTTCTTTCTTATCTAAAGAGAGCTTATAAACAAGTCCAAAAAATTGAGAGCATGTGGATGGTAATGCCATATGCCAATATTTACAATATATTTCAAAGTTGTGAATAGAGTATATCTACTAATTCGCTTAAATAGATTATTTTAATGGACAGAATACAATTATTATATATAATAAAATGAAGATTCTCATTCTACCCTTCAATGTAATCAAGCACGAAATTTTATAAAATCCGTGGATTTTTAAAAGATCGTAAAACTCATATCATTAACACGGTATGTAAGGTCCTATAGAAGGAAAAATGGTAATTATATATATATATATATATATATATATATATATATATATATATATATATATATATATATATATATATATATATATATATATATATATATATATATATATATATATATATATATATATATATATATATATATATATATATATATATATATATATATATATATATATATAAAAAGCTCGATCTTGCCCGCAATGAAAACAATCTTTTTCTAATCGTAACACTTTCAGACATCTTTAAAACTTAAGATTCAACACTCGATTTTGACTATATTGTCACCCCTTATATGTTCAAATGTGCTAAATTACACAATCGTTCGTATAAACTTTTAGTGTTTTATAGGTTGAATCTAATTACAAATATAGATTATTTACAAAAGTGTAACTATAATGATAGGAACCCAAATTCAAATTCAAAAGAAATTGTATTATTAATAGAAAAACAAAAACTATTATAGAAGATAAACCCTGTAATTCTAAAGCTTCAAAGAAGAGACAATTCTCTCTCCAAACCATTACGGTTTCAAATTGAATAAATCTCCTCGTTCTCTCTTGCTATCCCTATCCATTACATAACTATCATTCTCCTTTAACCAACTAGCCACATCAACGCACATAACTCATTCCTCTATTTGACACATTTGTTGGGTTTAGGTCCAAACCAACTACCTAACGTATAATCACTTGTTGAGCACAAGAAAAAAGAAAATATATGCGTTCTCTTGTTATAGATGACAATGTTTAAGTGCTGCAAGTTAATCTGTATGCTAGGCTATACTATTAACGACCACTGATGGTATTTGACGTAGTAGATTGACTATCCCATTCATCAACCACAGCTTTAGGTGAAGGCTGTCGCATTGTTTTTTGGAATAATCCAATCTCATCTTCATTTCCATCTGGTGAAGGTGGATGCATATCTTCAACTATATGCTCAGGCTCATCCTTCCCACTTTCAATTCTCATTAGCACCCTCAAAACCTCATCCATGGAAGGTCTCAATTCCTTTTCCCTTTGCAAACATTGAAAAGCCAACTCTGCCACCGAAACTATCATCGTCTTAACCTCATTGTTTGAATCAAAACCAAGATTAGGATCCACCAGCTCACTGAATTCACCCTTCTGGATCTTCTTTAAGGCTAGGTTTGACAAGTTAATCTCATCCTTATGCCTGTTCATATCAACAGCAAGCTTAGATGATATTAGCTCAACGAGCACAACACCAAAACTGTATACATCACTCTTGTTAGTAAGTTGGTAACATTGATGATAGTCCGGGTCAACGTAACCCGGTGTCCCTTGTGGTGCCGTGGAAGCATGGGTGATATCATGAGGAAATAGTCTTGAAAGACCAAAATCTGCAACTTTGACACTGAAGCTGTTTGTAAGAAGAATGTTTTTGGTTTTCACATCACGGTGAATGATGCCAGAAGCATGCAGATAAGCCAATGCACTCGCTGTCTCTATGGCAATTCTCATCCTGATATGCCAAGGCAGTGTGTCTGTTCTTGCTAGATCACCTTGGAGATGAAAATCAACAGTATGGTTTGGAACATATTCATACACAAGCAGTAGTTCATCGCTGTGATGTGAAGTACATCCATAGAGAGACACAAGATTTGTGTGGCGGGTGCGAGCAAGGATTTCAATTTCATTGGTGAACTGTTCTACTCGCCTCCAGTTGTGCTCGTATAGACGCTTAACAGCAATTTCTCGTCCATCTTGCAGTCTCCCTGGTTGTTATTTGATAAGAATCGGACCGGATAATAATCAGTTTCTCAACATGATGCATGGAAATGCAGTACAGGTATACAACTAATCTATGTTCGAATAGGGAATGAAGTTTGGAAAGGGAATGATTTACCGTAATAAACTATTCCAAAGCCTCCACTTCCAAGTTGGTTGGCTTGGTGGAAATTATTTGTAGCTTCTTCTAGCTCCTTATAAGAGAACAGAGGTATTTTAAAGTAGACAGTGTCGTTTTCCAAGTCTTGATTTCGATATGGATCAATTTCATCATTATATGATTTTCTTTTCGATTGATTTTGGAGGTCTGAAAGAGCACGTTTTCTTCTGGAGAGGCATCGAACTATAAGAATACCCAGTGCAACCAATGTAATGCCTAAACCTGTAGTAGGAAAATTCAACCTTCACTCAGACAAAACTTTAAATATATGATATATAGTAGGACCATCTAAAAACATTATTAGTTATATATTACCTATTCCAAGTCCTAGTAGCAGCTTAAAATATTGTCTCTTATTCTTTGGTTCTGCAACATAAGCCAATTTGAAGAAACTTCATAAGTAAACCATAAATCAACAAATGGAATGTATGGTGTGAGAAATTTATCTGAAGCTTACCATAATGACAGTAGAACTTATTGTTTGCATTAAGTCTACATCGGCCTCGTCTGTGGTTGCAGCACTCTTCACAATCAGCAGATAATACTATTTTAACAACCATCTGACCAGATACAAATGATAAGATGTTTTTGGTATCAGTCAAGTCTTTTGATGGAAACTGAAGTAGGGAGCAGGATGAGAAAAAACTATGCGCTTTCTCTTTAGTAACATTGGAATGCTGCTTTCTGTCATAATAGATAATGTAGGAAGAGCAGTTGTATTTAAAATAGTGTGAGGGGGGATTTAAATTGCGGCTATTATTGCACTGGAAGAGAGTTACGTTATAATTTATATAAAAAGAAACCAAAGGAGAAGGGGGAGGAAGAGTGTAGTTGTGGTTCAAAGTGTCACAAACATTATATTGCAAACGCTGGTAAAAATCTGGATCAGAAAGTGTAATGGTATTCTGGTCAATGACAGCAGTTAGCTCTGTGGTTTTTGCGTTCTTCTCCAGTTGGATCCATTTGGGTGAATAATAACTGCCATTACAGCCATGTATGAATATGAAGCCACATTCGGGTTGTTCTGACGTAGTGAAAGGGTGACGAAAAATCCCACGATTTCCACAAGTGAACGAGGGTGGACAGTTAGATTGGTACCGGCTGCCATGCCCTGATGATAAAATCAGCATGAGGTGACAAAACAAGAGGAAGCAGAACAAATGGACTAGAGCCATCCCAACTTTACAAGGAAGAAATAATGGATTCTTAACATGAAAAAATAAATGTAATGAAGGTTAAGTACTAGTATTGTGAATTGTGACATGCAAAATAAATACATTATCTTCACAAATATCTATCAGTATCATGTATAAATCAAGTGGTCTAAAAAGGGAACTTATTTGATAGGTTAGTTGACTTGAAAAATGAAGAAGGAAGACTTGATGAAAAAGAGAGGTTGATTAGATCAACCGTAGTCCATATAAAAATATGAGATATACAATTCAAAGTTACAAATGTGTGGTTGCTGGTCATTTTTTAATTATCCCACCAATGAAATTGGACCCCTCTGCTATATTTTCTTTATTGACAAAACGGCACATTCAGATAATGAATCCTTCAACATTCAAACACTTCCAATTTATTTACTATTCCAACTTGGAACTTATTTATGTCATGATTTAACCATAAGAGGAAATATAACCATCCATATTTTCCCACACTTTTTTCCACATTAAATTTACAGTTTGTATTCTTTCTTAGAAAGAAAATATACTACCGTTATTGGGAATATTATATTTCTGTTTTTTCTTTCTATCTCTTCTCTTTTCCTGACCCTATTTCAAGTCTGTAAGGCGTACATATAATGAAAAAGGCGGCATCAATTTGACAGTCACACTTATATTTCATGACTTTCAATATTTTTCATAAAACATGTAATTTCCAATTTAGCTTCCAACATGTAACCTTGCCCAAAGGCAAAGGCAAGAAAACGAGGACAAAATTTCTTGGCCTTGGTCATGCTTATCTAAAACCATTTTTAGGGTACCAACTTTTTCTTTTTTCTTCTCCCATTATATTTTTAAGTTTTTGTTAACCACTAGTTAGAACCAGTTTTAAAGAACTAGTTGGTTCAAACACAGATTGAATCGATCCATCGCTTCGACAACTAAACCAGTTGAATCAAATCGACTTTTACTTCTCATCATTTTAGATTCAAAGAGTAGCCCCGACCCGGTATGTGGTCGGTTCCTTATCGTATCAACCGGTCTAAGTCAGTTTTCGTTAAAGTTGGGCTGTGGTGTTCGGACGGACTATATGTTTATGCAGTATATTAAAATGTGATAAATTACTTGGTGGAGCAACAAGATATGAACAGATACAGTTTGCAAATTAGCATTACAAAGAATAAGAGGAAAAAATGCATCATAATACCATGAAGTTCCAGTAACAAGGGAAACAAACTCTAAATTATGCAAAGGTACCCCCTTCTTCGAACTTTTAAATGATATGACGAAAAGATGCTAGCTGCTCTCATGACGATTTATTAAATTTCAGAAAAAAAAAAAAAAAAAAAAAAAAAAAAAAAAGAACAAGGATAAGCAGATAGCTCTAGAATAGCATAGTAAACACTGTATCCAAAAATTTTCCTTTTTGTGTCTTATTTTTGTACCTCTTTTTATAGTATTTACATGTACCTCTATCTCAACTCTTTGCCTGACTGCAATGTCTCTTGAAATAATCATCTATACAAACGGATGAGACGAGTATGATACATTGTACTCGCTCATTTTCATGTTTCAACTAACAATCATTGCTTATAGTTGATTCAGTAAAAATGGACTATCAACAATTGATACTAGACAGTGATTAAGCACTGGCATTAGGTGTAGTACTAATACTTTCCCATTTATCAGTGACAGTGTTTGGTGAAGACGGATGCTTCATATTTTTCACATTCCTCAATAATCCAACTTCATCCCATTCAGGTGAGGCTGGTGGTGGATTTACATTACCGTGTGAAGATCCAACGCCATCAACATCCCCTTCCTCTACAACCTCAACCACATCCCTCCCACTCTCTATTCTCCTAAGTTCATCCAAGACTTCTTCCATAGAAGGTCTCAATTCCTTGTCCCTTTGCAAACACTGAAATGCCAATTCTGCCACTGAAACTATCATGCTATTAACCTCATCGTCTGAATGAAAACCAAGGCTAGGATCTACCAGTTCATCAATTGCACTTTCTTGAATCTTCTTTGTGGCTAGAGTTGACAAGTTAATCTCTTCCCTACTTCTGTTTATATCAACGGCAGGCTTAGATGATATTAGCTCAATCAAAACAACTCCGAAACTATATACATCACTCTTGCTAGTAAGCTGATAAAATTGGTGATACTCAGGGTCAAGGTAACCTGGTGTCCCTTGTGGAGCTGTGGAAACATGAGTGGCATCCTCAGGGAATAATCTTGAAAGACCAAAGTCTGCAACTTTAACACGAAAATTGTCATCAAGGAGTATGTTGCTGGTTTTCACATCACGGTGGATGATACCAGAAGCATGGAGATAAGTCAAGGCAGTAGCAGTCTCTATGGCAATTTTAATTCGTATAGACCATGGTAGTAAGTTGGGCTTGGCCAATTCACCATGGAGATGACTTGCAATGGTGCCATTTGAGATATATTCATACACAAGCAGTAGTTCACGGCTATGCCGTGATGTGCAGCCATAGAGGGACACAAGATTTTTATGGCGCAAAGTTGTCAGGATATTAACTTCGTTCATAAACTGTTCTACTCTCCTATAGTTGTGTTCGTATAAACGCTTGACGGCAACTTCGCGTCCATCGGGAAGTTTCCCTGGATTTTAAGGATGAAGTATAAGTTATACAATAAGATGGAAAGATTAATTTAGTATGTCAGATAATTGTATACCTACCAAAGTAGACAGTACCAAAGCCTCCATCTCCAAGTTCTTTAGTATGGTCAAAATTGTTTGTTGCTTTTCTAAGCTCGTCGTAGGAGAATAATGGAACTCCGAAGTGTTTACTGCCAATTTCTCTGCGTGGATTTATGGACGAATCAGAATAAGAGTTACTAGATTGGAAGTGTCCAACGGAGATAGCATGTTTTCGTTTGTAGAGTTGGAGAAACAGTAACAAGATGAGCAAGATGCCCAGGATTCCAATACCTAAACCTGTGGAAAATGGCCAAAAGAATATATAAATTTAAGATTACTATAAAACATAACAAGGTAATGAAACCTGTCATTGCACAGATTGGAATCATAGGAACATATATTTTGAACAAACAAATTTATCAAAATAAATATGAACAAATATGAAGATCCTATGAGTTGAACATACTAATGAACTTTCATACTCAAAATCAATGAATTTGAAATTATGTGCTGAAAGTTATGTAAATGGTACATTACCTATACCCAGTTTAACATTCCGCGTCAGCCCTTTTCGCTTTAGAACCATAGCTGCAAATAGAGGAAACAACTCAGATTTGACATATGAAAATAAAATTGTGCAGGAAAAATATGGTTTGGTAATTCAGTGTTGCGCAGACAATATTAATTAACCAGTCAATTAATCGAACTCAGTTCTTGCCATCCAAGAGTAATACTAAATCAGCTGAAAAGTGTAGTAAATACTATATTCAAAATCAAAATATGGAAGACACCAAGTTTTTACTTAGATTAGGCACATCAATGTAGTGCTACTACTCTTGAGATGTATGACTCTGATACCGTGAGAGATGGAACTAGGCTTGTGTCACAAATTTAAATGGAAACATTTATGAACCTATAACGCAGAAAGCATATAAAAGCAACAACTATGTGTGCTTCATGTTTCTAAGGTATCTGTTATAGTATATACCATTGGCACAATGAAACCTCCCGTTGCTGTTAAGTTGACAACATCCTCTTTGGTTGTAGTGACAATTTGCACATTCCTCTGTTACGTTTACTTGAGTTATGATATCAGCCGTTACGAAAGTAAAAGGGTCGTTAGCGTCAGCAAAGTCTTTAGCTGGAAGCAGGGCCTTTGTACAAGCTTTAAATGCACTCTGAGATGCATTATCAGCAGCACTATTGTAAGGCTGGTAGTAGAAATCATAGAGACGGCAGTTTGTATAGTTATGCATATATGTTGGAGGGTTTACATGGAGTGAACGGTTGCACCTGAACAAGGTTGCATGAGTTACTATATGTAAAGAAACAAAGTGAGAGGTAGGAGGAAGAGTATAACTATTTTTGAAAGCATCACAACTTTTGTCTTGTAGCAGTTGGTAGAGATTATGGTCTCTGAAAACACAACTACAAGTTGCATTACCACCGTGAAACTCAGGAGGATTTACAATTCCAACCTCAAACCATTTCCCTTTATCCCGAAATTGGATCGATTTGGGCTTCATTGCATCATGACAATTATTTATTGGCAATAAGCCACAATCCTGGCGTTGTGTTGTAGTAAAAGGGAAGCTGATATTGCCAAGATATCCACAATTAAATGAAGCTGGACACTCTCCTTGGTACATATTCTCATATCCACCCGCCAACACAAGACGCGGCACAAGATGTGAAAACAAAAGGACCATAAATTCATAAACCAGACTCATCCTTAACTCTCCTACCTACTTTATGTGCAAAAGGGGTCAGGAGTATAATTTTCTAAAATAAGTTGAAGTCTGTCTAACTTGTTTTTACACTCTTCAGTATTCACAATAAAATAACACCACCAACTTTAAATACTTGATACACCAAATGGAAAATGAACATGAATGGAAATGAAGGTGGGAACACATTATATCTATATTTTTGGCCTTTAGGGAAGTGAGACCAACTTCATGCTCAAGTTAGTAAACTCCTATTTTTGAATAAAGACAAAGACTTGACTTCATAAACTGCAAATCTGAATCTTCTAAACCATCTAAACCATGCAAAAAAATTAGGATAATAAACAAGTAGTTAACTCATATGCAAGGAAACTAAGATTGAGAAATATGGAAAACTGAGAGGTCTAGATTCTGTAGTGAGTCAATGTAGAGGTTTTGAAATTAAAAAAGTGGGTCCTTGGTTGAAATACTGGAAAAAGATGAGAGAAAAAAACAAGCAGCAATTTGAAGTTGAAAGAGTCTTTGGGAATAATAAGACAATAATCAAAGGTTCACACTTCACTTCATAATGACTGTTCAACGAAGGATCATGAGAAAACGCGTTCACAAGAAAATGTTGTCTCATCTTCATTAACTGTCTATGTCATAATCCTTGACTTCAAACATATTTTGCCTATGTAGTTACCTTAATGTCCTGTGTTGCGTGTACCCTCTAAATTAAATTATTATAACTTGTTTCTCCACTTGCTGATTCTTCACCCAAGATATTTTCATCTTTATCCATTAATATAATTCTTGTCATTGTGAGTGCAAATCGGAAAGATTTTTTGTAAAATCAGCAGTCAATATTTATTGAAATTTTTTCCTAATTGAAGACTAATCATCTTCATTAAATATGTTTTTTTTTTAGAATATTTCATCGACAAAAAATAATAAATTAATTTTTTAAATATTAAAAAATATAGACTTAATGACATATTCAATTGTTTTATTTTAACTCATTCACAAAATTAATCTTTTATTTCAAATTCAACCGGTTTTATTTTCCTCTTATATTTTTCACTTAAAATTGATTTGTCAAATGTGATAAATTGTAATATAATTTTTTTTGTACAATTTTAAAGAAAAGAAATATAAATTAAATATTAAATAAAAATTAACACATCATTGATTTTAAAAAGGAAAATGTGAGAATATGACAAAAAAAATAAATTTTAAAAAACTTTAAAGTCATAAAAAATAAATACACCATTAATTTTCAATGTAAAAATTTAAAAGGTGGTTAAAACTATTTGAATTTAAAACAGAGAAATTAATAAGAATGAAATAAAATAGAAAGATAAAAATTGTAATTAAAAAAAAGCTATAATTAAATTTTATAAATAAAAATGTATGTAATTTCTAAAAAAAAGAAATTATATTGTTGAAAAATATGTAGTAATAAATATTAAAGGAAATGATAGAAATATAAATATTAATATTTTACTGGTATTTTAAAATGATTCATGATTTAAAATAAATATTTTGGCATTAGTATGGTTTTAATCTAAAATGATTATTTACAAAAACAAACATGTAACAAGAAGACCTATATAAGACTCTCTTAAAAAACTAATTTCGTGAACTATTATAAATTAGTTTAACTAAATTCAATTTTAAAAATCAATTTGTAAGATGAGGAGTGTCATTCTATATAAATTATTTGTGAGTTTTATTTTTAATCAATGTGAAATTTAAATTTTTTTACACGCCCTCATGCTCTGCACTGTCGGATTTGGTGGGTGATTGGAATTATTGATATATGAGATTTGCTTTTTCCAACACATTTCCTTACGCCCATTACTTTTTGAGTTTGATACACACATATATAAATGATGGGTGATCCGAATCGATAGACACGTGATATCATGATAAAATTAGAATTTGACCTGACTCATTCTTATAAAATCGGTTTATAAAATAAAAGATATCACTTTATATATAAATCCTTTGTAAATTTTATCTTTAATCAACCGTAAATTTTTCTTGCATTTTATAAATCATTTATAAGTTCTAACTTTAATCAACCGTTTTAAATAGTCTTACTCTTTTTAATTTTTTAGACTTAGTAATATGAAGTATTTTTTCTTGAATACATTGCAATGGAAAAAGAATTAACTATTTCTTGCAATGGAAATCAGTCCATAGAACCCTTTGTTACTTGATAGCTTGAGGTGAAAACCATGTAATGAGTAATATGATTATCAATTAGATGAAAATAGGAAACTTATTATTTTAAATTATGTAGTATATTAGATTTATTGTGATATACTCTTTCTAAAAATTTAATTGTTTATAAATTATTTGTTTAAAAATAAATGTTTCTTTTTAAGTTTTAAATATAATTCTTATGTTTATCTTTCAATTATGTCTTTTAATTATATTTTTAATTTTTATTCCTTATCTTTGTATTTATGATAATACAAATACATCAATAATAAATAAGAATAATTTAGTAAAAATATTATTTTTTTCTTTTATTTATTATATTTTTTAATTAGTATAAAATGATTAATTATAATAATTATTTTGAGACAGAGAGTAACAAATATAGATTGATATCTGTCTTTTTCATAAAAATGAAAAATAATTTTTTTCTTTTTAATATCAACCATTTGACCAAAATATCAACGTGAAATAAAAATCAACATAGTTGAATTATGTTGTATCTATATTCTCAAAAATAGGAGACAATTTTCTATATAGACGATTGTTAAATTTAAGAAATGTTTCAATATAGAAAAAGATTTTGGGTTGTGAGTAGAAATGTCAAAAGTATGCATTTTTTCTATTGGAAAAATATAGGAAGTGTCCTGTATAATTTTAGGGGTTTTAAATGAAACTCTTGCGAATAAGTTGAACCAAACAGGCCCACATTCCTAGTCCACCAAAATTACAATGTGGGCTAAGAAAAACCAACCCACCTAACTTGCTAACCTACCGGCAATTAACTTGCCATTCTTGCAATTAAATTGGACACTCTCACCTTGTGGCTATTATTATCTTTATGTCATTATTATTATTTTTTTTTGGAATTTTCTATTATATTTATTGGAATTTTTCAAAATTTTTTGTTAAAAAATTGAGGCATAATTAGTTTCTATATCCCTTAATTTCGAGCGAAGTTCCGCTTTAGTCTACGAATTAAAAAACGTTACATAATGATCCTTTAACTTTACTTCCGTTGAACCATTTGGTCTCTACCGTTAGTTTGTGTGAAAAAATATTGATTATGACTGAGATGGCATGTCAGGTAAGTAAATGGTATGTTCAACATTTAGCATTTGTGTTAAAACGCTCTAGGTTCATGGGTTCCATCTTCCATGTTAATTCATATTTTCTTCATCTTCCATTTTCTTTTCCAAAATACTAAAAGAAAGTTGAAGATTGAAACTTACAACATCATTTCCTTGCCAATTTTTCTTCTTCAATTTTCATTTGGATATGTTGTTTTGGATCTTTCATGAGAACACAAAGGGTAAAGTTTTTCAATTTTTGAAATTTTGGATTTGTTTTGCATCTTAGAGAAGAAAAAAAAATATAAGTGTTAGGTTTGGTTTTTAGAGGTAAGGAAATAAAGGTTTGTGGTGACGGTTTAAGGTTGAAAAAGTTGATGAAAGTTTAGATGTTGGAAAAATAGATGTTTGGTTTTGTAATTGTTGAGGTTTATTGAGAGATAATGAAATTGGTGTCGGAGTGGTTGTTTTCTTCCAATTTCTCTTAATTTTACTTGCTAATTTCTCTTCCATTTTCTGTGATACAACTAAAATGAATGGTTTTTTTCTTTATCAATTTCTATTTGGGTATCCTGTTTTGGATCTTCCATGAAAACACAAATGGTAAAGTTTTTCAATCTTTGAAATTTTGGGTTTGTTATGCATCTTAGAGGGGAAAAGGTTGAAAAAAACTGATAAAGGTTTAAAGGTTTGGGTGAAAATTGAGAAGAAGAAGAAATGGAAGAAATAGTTTCTTTCATGAGAGAGAGTGTTGAACTTCTACATTGAGGAATGATTCTTGTGCCACTAGTTTGGTCAATTGTGTAATATTTTAATTAATATAAAATAAATAAATTTCCAACTCAACAACTAAATGTCCAGTAATCAAAGTTTAACGTTTTTTCACAAAAAAAACTAACGGAAATGACTAAAATATGTAACTTAGTATAAGTTAATGGACGACTATGTAACATTTTTTTAAGGACTAAAGAGAAACATTGACTAAAGTTAAAGTATCAAAAGAGATATTAAGCCAAAAATTGAAGAAATATCAAAAATTTTGAAAAATAAAAATTTTAAAATTTTTTTTCTATATTATCAAAATTTTCAAAATTTCCGATAAACTATCCTACATTTTAAAATTTCTAATAAATTATAATATTTAAAAAAAATCAATAAAAAATTTGTATTGTCAATTTAAAATAAACTACCAAAAATTTAATCTAGTATAAATTTTTTTGAATAAATTACCAAAAAATTCATTCGTATTTTTTATTTAAACTTATTCATTTATTAATGAACAGTTTAAAAATTATGAAAAATATGTGGGAATACTAAATTTAATTAAGGAGAGGACAATTTAATTAATTGCTCATAAGCTACGGATTGAGTCCATGCATTTGAATGAGCGAGTAATAATTTAAGATTTTGGATTAATAGAGATAAATGAAATCAAAATAATATAAAGCCACGTCATACTAAAATAAAGTTAGCTAGTGTTTTGGCCTGGGCCCCGGCTTGACCGGGCAGTCCCAGCCCAATGGTATTCTGTCAAGTTCAATCTAGCTTGGGCTACAGCCGTCGAGCACAGGTTCTCCGTCGGGCATGCAATGATCCCTCCGCGGGCAGAACCTCCTCCCTTGTCGGGCAGAACAATGTGTGCGTTACATGTTCTTCACGTGCTCCCCTCCGCGGGGACACATCACCAACCGACTGCCTACCTCCGAAAGAGCAGGTCAAACTCACCTT